TAGTAATGCATACAATTGCAGAACAAATTGGGTCTGGGGGTCCCTTAGTTAGGCACAAAGACCCAGAAAAGAAATTTACAAAGGTTGTTTTTTTTAATAATAAAGGACAGTTACTATTTTTAGCAGTTTGCATTGTACAGAAGAGTTAATGATACAATAATAAATTATTTTCCCAAAACCATGTGACTTACAGGAAAGCTAAACTTAACTCAAGAAAATAAGAGTTCCAGAAGCTGTGCACAATGATGGCAGTGATACAAAATGGAGTTAGTTTGGTTCTCTCAGTACCTTTTACACATGCACACATAGACACACACACATATGTGTGTGTGTGTGTGCGTATGTGTGTAAATCTGTACAACATGATATGCCATATACAGGGAATAGTGGAAGCCAATTTGACTGGAATGGAAAATGTGCAAGGGAGTAATATGAAATAAAGCAGGAAATGTAAATGGGAGTCACATTGCAGAGAATCTTAAATTCCCTCCACAGCTCTCTTAAACCACTGTAATGAAAGAAGTAGCTCATTTTTAGTATGGTACCAAATGCAGTAATTGTTTGAGTGTGTGGTAGACAAAGTTTCTGTTTATGCAAGCATCCAGTAGAAAATTCTGTTAAGACATTGCAATGTTGCTGTTTATTATTATCACTGTATTTTTTAAAGACTCTCTCTTACTAGGTGAATTTGTATTTTTTAATTATATTTAAATCCATATATTAACTCAGCATCCTCAAGTATAAAGTTATTTTTGCTATATCCTCTAACTATGTAGTTTTCCACGACAAGCTTTTAATGGACAGTAAATCATGGGGAATGATCACAGTGAGAGGAAAAGTCAAAAAAAAGGGGGAAAAACTGAGGAAACAGACAGATATATAATATAGTAGTGATTTGTTGAAGGCTTGAGGCAGTAGTGGAAAAATAATTTATGATCTAAGCATGAAACTTTTAATAAGCAAATAATAGAAATCATTAGGTTTTGAGATGAATGATTTTATTGTGAAAAGCTCCCAGTTTTTTGGTGACTTCTACCTGTAGATCTAGCTATGACAGGAAATCAACTCATAGCTTATGTCTGACTACACAGGTGATGTAGAAAGCTATCTTATGCACTTGATTAACGTAAATGTGGTTAAATTAGATGACCTTTGAAAAATATGCACGTTGTATATTTTTACCTTGTATGGTACATTTTCCAAAATAGAATTATGCAGATAACTGGTTAAATTCTCAGATTTTTGTAGATTCTGCCAATTTCAAAGGTCATACTTTTTATTTTAATATTTAATATATACTTCATTCTCTTGGTTCTTCATACCAGATTTTAGTGTGTAAAGGACATGGTATAGTAAAAAGAACATTTCATTTAGAGTCATAGGCCCTGAGTGCTAAGCCTCTGCACACTACATATGGAACTTCTCTTCTCTGAGCCCCTGTTTTGTCATTTGTAAAATGAGAGAAGAGTTGTACTAAAGTCTTCTTTATAAAAATAATCTTCCCTCCTTTCTTCTTTTCTTTCTTCCTTCCTTTCTTTCTAAAATTTTAAAAATTGAATTCCAAACTATTTCCCTCCTTCCACCTCCTCCTCCACCCATTAAATAGGTAAGAAATATTTTACCTATTATACATATGGATTCATGCAAACTAGTTCCGTATTAGTCATTTTGAAATAGGTAGATAGACAGATAGATAGATAGACAGATAGACAGATAGATAGATAGATAGATAGATAGATAGATAGATAGATAGATAGATAAAGAAAAGGCAGGCATGGAAAACAAAGAAAGTGGAAAATGTATGCTTCAGCCTGTTCTCAGAGTTCATTAGTTCTCTCTCTGGAAATAGATACCATTTTACATGATGAGTCTTTTGGAATTGTCTTGAATCACAATAGCTAAGTCTTTCACAGTTGATCATTATTGCAACATAGGGTAAAGATTTCTTAAATTTTTTTTATATCAGGCCAACTTTTGGGAAAAAAACCCTTTATCAGAATAAATAAATGCATTAAATAGAACATATTGAATTACAAAGGAAATCAGTTATATTGAAAATTATCAAAATATTTAAAAAATCATGAACCCCGAGTTAAAAATCCCTATACTAAATGATCCCCATAAGGTCCCTACAAGTCCCAAAATCCTATGACTTAGGCTGAATGCCAATTGAAAATGACATTGAAGCCCTATTTATTGCAAACAGTAATTTGCCTCTAAGGAATAAATAGCACTGCCTTTGTCCCCAATTCTTGTCCCCTCTCAACTCCTCAGTTTCTTTCTGACACTGTAATATAATTCCTTCCCTTTTAATGTTCCTGGAGTCAGATTCAAAGAGTTAAATGAAGTGTGACATCGACTTTTATTGAGTGAGTTGGGGTAGTATACACTACCAAATCATTTTGTGCCTTGAATTTTCTGGATGGATGAGCTAGACTGCCCAAATGTATCATTGTAGTAAGTGCTAAGTATAGTATAATTTTTAATTTCAAGCAAGGAATTTTGCAGTTTGTTAGAAAGATTTTTCTCATCTAGGTTTTTAAAAACTGTATCTTAAGATACATTATAATTTAGGCCATTCAAATTGGGGAGTGCATTTTTTTTTTGGCCATTAGGGGAAAATAAACTTTTCAACTTGGCATTTAAAGCCCTTCACAGTCTGGCTCTGGCCTAATTTTCCCCAATTATCTCACTCTTCTTCATATACTCTCTTTTCCAGGCAAATTGGCTTCCTTGTGATTCTTTGCACTTAATGTGTCATCTCCCACCTTCACACTTTTACACAATCTGTTCCCCCCCCCCCCCCCCCCACAAAGGAGGAACAACCTTAAATGAACCTTGAGAAAAGTCAATAATTCTAGGAATTATATATGAGGAAAGCCATTCTTTTGGGAAGACTTTCCTGATCCCTCTACTCTGTTTGTGCAAGTAGATTGTAAATTTATTCTTGGTAGAGATTCTTTATTCATGCCTTTGTATCTCCAATGCCTTATAGTGTTTCTTATGAATACTTTTAAAAATTGAATGGAAAGAATCTGGATAAATTTATTGATGAAAGTAGTTTGCCAATCAAAAGGGACTGCCTTTTTTACTTTCATTAGTCATTGACTCTATTTTATAAGATTTTAAATTCCCCGTCTTCTAACCCCTTTGGCAAAAGGAAATAGAAAGAAAAGTGATGATGATTATCTTAAATCTTAGATAAGAGAGGACCCAAATAAAGCACCCGGGGAATGTATTCTACTCTAAACAACCATTACTCAAGGGAGCATTGATAGAAAAAAAAAATGACTAGCTGACAAAATGAAGACTTTCAGTACTCCAAGGTGCAACTTCTCTGGCTTATTACTGGCAAAGTGAAAAAAAGACCTTTGAAATTAGATGCTACTGACAGCTATGACAATTACTAATGTCAACATCTGGTGAACAACAGTGGACCAAAAGAATCCAGTTTTTGTTTTTTTAGGCAGTTGGGGTGAAGTGACTTGCCCATGGTTACACAGCTAGTAAGTGTCAAGTGTTTGGTCTGAGGTCGAATTTGAACTCAGGTCCTCCGGACTTCAGGGCCAGTTCTCTATCCACTGTGCCACCTAGCTGCCCCTAAAGAATTCACTTTTTGAGATAAAAACAACAGGCTAATCAAGCACTTTAGGGGAAAAAAAAGATTTTCTTAAAGGTATAAATTACAGTTACTGGATAAATAGCTTATCTTTGTCAGTGATGGCCTAATTTTGTCTTGATAATATAAAAGTATGAAAACACAGGTGAATTACTATCCTAATGTTTTTAAAAAACTCAAAAAAATTATAGTTACCAAATTTATTGATTTTTTAAAATGTTAATGATACATAGCCAGAGCTATTTCTGAGTAATGTTATTAGTTGGTTAAAAAACACTATTTGAGTACTTAGCTTTTCTTAGTACCTTATAAGTATTTTGACTGTTGGTTGGAGGAGCAAGAGCCAAAATAATTTAAACCAGTCATGTCAAACTCAAATAGAAACTGGAGCCACTGAACCTTATATATGGATGTCTTTGGGCTCCATGTTGACTTAGAAAACCACATATTAACGTTATATATGTCCTATCATATTTTTATTTATTTTGTTAAATATTTCTTAATTACATTTTAATGTGACTCTTCACTCAGGAATGTTTTGGGCATATTGGTCTATCTGTTTTATATCTCTGATTTATAAGACTGCCTCAGTCCTTGATGTAGAATCCTAGAAATGGAACCTTACAACAGTGGTCTCCAAATACATATAATTATGCCCTACTATCAGGTTAAAAAAAGTGTGTATATACATGTATAACCTATATAGAATTGCTTGGCTTCTCAATGAGGGTGGGGGGGAGGGAAGAAAGGAGAGAATTTGGAGCTCAAAGCTTTAAAAACAAATGTTAAAAATTGTTTTCACATGAACTGGAAAATAAGATATACAGGCAAAGGAGTATGGAAAACTATCTTGCCCTACAGGAAAATAGAAGGGGAAGGGACTAAGAAATGGGAGTGGTGACAGAAGGGAGGGCAGTTTGGAGGAAAGGGTATTCAGAATGCACATCGTGTTGGGGTGGAGGAAACGGAGAGATGGGGAGAAAATTTGGAACTCAAACGCTTGTGGAAGTGAATGTTGAAAACTGAAAATAAATTAATTAATAAAATCTGAAAAAAAATAATAAAAAATTAATAAAATCTGAAAAAAATAATAAAAATAATTATTTATTTATTTTTAGTTTTCAACATTCACTTCCACAAATTTTTGAGTTCCAAATTTTCTCCCCATCTCTCCCCTTCCCCCACCCCAACATGACGTGCATTCTGAATACCCCTTCCTCCAATCTGCCCTCCCTTCTGTCACCACTCCCTTCTCTTAGTCCCTTCCTCTTCTATTTTTCTGCAGGGCAGGATAGATTTCTATACCCCTTTCCCTGTATATCTTCTTTCCCAGTTGCATGTGAAAACAATTTTTAATATTCGTTTTTAAAACTTTGGGTTCTAAAATATAGAACACTTCATGAATTTGTGTGTCATCCTTGCAAAGGAGCCTTGCTAATCTTCTCTGTTCCAATTTTAGTATATGTGCTGCCAAAGCGAGACACATAAATAAATTTTTAAAAAAGTATGTATGTATCAATATATGCATAATAATTTAAAAGTCATTCATACACGCATGCACACACGCACACATATGCCCTATTTTACATTGTTTCAGGCAATTCATTTTGATATTGGACTTCTGTAGCTTTAAAAGTTGTCTTCCAAAGTGCATTGTTGGTTCTGCCTAGTAATAATTTTTCATTCCATCCATCAAACATTTAAAAATTTTTGTTGAAATTCAGCTAATACATTTCTGTCTTCTCTAATATGAATCAGTTATTCTTGCCAAGTAATCATCACATGTTAAATTTTATATTTTTTGCATATGGGTCTAAATCTTTTTTATTTAGAATATCGTTAAACAGGCTAGAAAATGTTGTGTCCAAGTTATTGTTTTTTTGCTGCTGCTGCTGCTTTAAATGGGCAAATATGAGAGATTTCATAGGTGACTTGCATAAATTTTGGTAACAAAATAATATGATTGAAATATTTCAAAATACATTTATCGGATTAGTTGTTAATTTTTGTTAGTGATGCGGAAATTTCTTCATTGTCAAAATGCTCTCTATATAACTTGTGTTTTTTCTAAAAAAATAAACAAACAAACAAAAATAACCCAAATGTTTACTTTCATAATCGTTGTTAAAATATCGCCTTTACTTTGAATGGTCAGACTAAATATGTTTTTCTCCTTACAGTTTTTGGAAATATCTGCTAGGTTGCATGCTGCTGACATCCACCTGTCATCACAGAAAATCAACAAAATTGGAACAAATATCTTTCTGTAAAAGAAAATAAAATGTTTAACATCCCTAAGTTCACATACTGTTTTAAGTATTTTGCCTCATATAATAAAGGAACCTTGGTGTGATTATTTTTTTTTTTTTTATCATCACTCCCAGGGCTGTGTTGGAGCCAGAGTCAGAGCCAATTGTTAAATTTTCAGTGTGAGCGTATATACCTCAGAAATTGACAAACTCAAAAATCAGGGCTTGTTTTATTGTTTGGTTGCTTTTTTAGACTTAAGAAAGTAAAGGAAAAACTGGTAATAATGCAAATTGAACTTAAAAGTGTGTTATGGGCATTTTTTTCCCCTGGAGAGCCAGTTATTTAACATTTACTTGTATTTCCCAGGAGTAACTGTGACCCCATCTCCATTGACAAACTGTTGATTGTACAATGACTACAAGTCAGAGTAAGTTAGAAAATTATTACACTTTTAAAATAAAATGTGTCAAATAGGGGTTAGGACATACTTGTAAATAGTAATGATGTGAGATCAAATTTTCTAAATAATTAATTATTATATAGCTAGCCAAAAGTATGAATCACAATATTGACATTCTCTTCTACCTCAAAACAAAGCTCTGACAGACAAGGCCAGTATTTTCATTCACAAGCCAATGTCCCAGGAGGGTAGAGCCAATGGGAAGGATGCTACCCTCACTGTGAGATGACCTGAGAATTTGGATGGGAGGGTGAGAAATTTTCTCAGTGGCAGCTACACAACTACTATGCGTACTACACAAATCAAAGTTTTAACCTTTCAAAGTGATTGACATATCATGAAAAGGGAGAGAGTGGGGGAGTGTTGGATGAAAATGGGTAAAAGGAATAGTTGGATGTAACCCTTTTTTCTCATTTGGTTGGTCCTATACCCTTATAGCTGTTCTCATGTAGACTCTGATGTGTGAATATCCCAAATCAGTGCCTTAGAGATCATTTGGTTGAAAACCTTCATCTTATAGGCATCTAGGTAGTACAGTAGATAGAGTGCCAGGTCTGGGGTCAGAAGACTCATCTTCCTTAGTTCAAATCTAGCCTCAGATGCTTACTGACTGCGTGACACTGAAAAAGTCACTTACCCCTGTTTGCCTGAGTTTCCTCATCTATAAAATGAGCTGGAGAAAGAAATGGCAAAAACCATTCTAGTATCTTTGGCAAGAAAACCCCAAATGGGGTCACAAAGAGTTGGACATGATTCAAGTAAACTTCATCTTACATATAAGGAGACTGGCACCTGGAAACGGCACATAGCTCATTATTGGCAGACCTGGGATAAGAACAGAGGCCTCAGTCCATCATTCTGCTCACCCATGTGGACTGTCACATGCCTATGAAATAAAATAAGAGTGATGTTAAGGTGTTATCATCACCAAACGAAAAGGAATAGGACAAACACAATCGCTTTATTCTTCTGATTTATACTGAAGAAAGATTCATCTTAGAATATCATTAATACTGTTTTGAGGGGGAGGAGGTACTTTTTTTTTCTTTCAATGGTCTATGTGACTTATTTATTTAAAGTTTCTCCATAGAGATTGCCAGCATTTGTATCCCACCTTAAATGTTGCTTCTTTGGTATTCTGAAGTCTCCTGAGATTAATAACAATAACTATCTACTTTGAAGGCAGTAGCATCGGAGGTCAACTGACAGTATCTTCTTGATTTTAGTTTAGGCAGGTAGATTTGCAAGCTGCACGTCCAAATAGCTTTCCTAGGCTAGCATTGCAGAAGCCTCTCAGTATTAACTTTTACGATACAAAAACTCGGAGTAAGTTATAACTTATGGTATTTTTAAAGTTTAACTATATTAGGATAAATATATTTATTATAATAAACATTAGGATAAATATATTCAGATACATTAGAATAAATAATCTGTTAGGACAATGTATCAGGATAGATGTATTGTTCTATATGAGTTAGATCCTCTTGTATGTGGGATTTTATATTGAGGAGGAAATTATCTGGCAAATGAACCGTCTTATGTCTAAAGGGTACTTGAGACTAAATACTTAGTTGTTGTGGTGCTAGCAGAAACCTAAGAAAATAAAAGCAAGGAATGGGTACAAAGATTTGGAATAGAAACAGAAACATAAAAGAGTAGTAGCATTTGCAGTATTCTTTCCTTAAATGGGAGGGGACCCTCTAATTTTCTTCTTTCTCAACATAATCCCAGAAGAAATTTCCTCCCTTCTACCCTCTCTCATCTGTAGATGAGAGAAAAATCCCAACAGTTCAGAGCAAAAATACATGGAGGCCAGCTCCATACTTCACTAGTTAGGATTCAGTTGATTTTCCATACTCATTTGGTGCTTGCGTATTATGACAATTGTAGCCTTCTACAAGTTCTACACAGTAGGCAGACTGACAGTATCTGCAATTCTGTTGTAACATCCATCTCAGCTCTTTAAGGAGGTTGCTCATCTGCCCTTCCAGAGCTTCACTCCTGACTGACTCCATGCTGCTGGCCCTGATGTTTAGCTTCTTCCTCCTTCTCAGGTCTCATCTCTGTAATATTCCCCAACTTGCTAGCCTATTATGTCAGGGGGATTTGATATCTTAGCCCAACTTCAATAAGGCCTAACTCTTGGGTCCCAGAATCTCCTTGGAAAACGTAGTTCAGATCAGTCTAATGTTTGTTGTTGTTTGTTTGTTTGTTTACATAGCACACTGGGAAACATATGCTCACTTTTGTCTGATTCCGTGATATGTTTTTCCACTATCATAAAATTGGTGACTTAAAACTTCTTCCTTTAGAAAGTACAAAGGCCTAAGATTACTGAACTTTTTTCTCCTTTTATTATTTAAATGGAAATAGTGATTTTACTCATGACTTTGATAAAGCAAGGTGACAAATCTGTTATAGCTAGTATTGTTAAGCTTAAGATGTGAGCAGAAGAGAAACACCAAAGTTCCTGGATTCCTTCGGATTATTTGAATTGCTCTGAAAATAGATGTATTTGAAGAATGATGATGATCAGGAGGAGGAGGGCGACAACAATAAACCTTATGAAAGATATAGAAAATCTATTTTTTCCCTTGATTTGGATATTTTATACTTTAAAAAAGCTTGAGTATATATATTTTGTTCTTGTTAATTCCAAAGACAGGCTTCAATTATATTTTATCTATGTATTATTAATGTTTCTCTCTCTTATTCTACAAAATTATTTAAAATTGTGCATATTTTTAATAACTTGAGAATCTACATTTAAAATATTGTCTACAAGATAATTGATAAGATCAGAAAATCACAGAGTTAGAATCCATCTACAGAATCCTTAAAGTTGGAAGGAGGACCTAAGAGGTCATTTAGTTAAACTCATACCTGAGTAAAAATCCCTTCTATAATAAATCATACATATGGCCATCTAGTACTGGCTTAAAAAAAAACAACAACTAATAAGGGGGTAATAATGACCCTATAAGGCAGTTTGTCTCCCATTTAGGTCTAGTTATTAGGAAGTTTTTCTCTGCTTCAAGTCTAAAACTTGTTATTACTTCCAGTTCTGCCTTTTGTGGTCAAATGAAACAGATGTAATCCCTCTTCCACAGGACAGTCATTCCTGTTGCTATGTCCCCTCTAAGACTTCTTCAGCCTTAATCTAAGATAACAATTTCATGAGCATCTATGTTCATGACAACTTGATACTTTTTTGTATAATTAAGTAAATCAGGCGGTCTTGCACAAAAATAGTGGTCATTCTGTAAGCAGTCTGCTTATCACCATTTTAACAGTAAATACCATTTGATCACGTTTAGAGTCTTGGATGTGATGTTGGACTAGATGACCTGAATGGTTCCTTCCAATTCTAAGAGTTAATTATTCTTATATGATAGATAATGTTGAGGCTGGGATCAAGTGTATCCACAATTCTGTATCTTAAATTGTGTTTATTTGCTGCAAACATTTGTCAAAGAAATCATGTATTGAGGACAGCTGACCAGGGCAGTATTTATCTACTTCATTATAATAGCTTTTGTGGTCCTTAATAAAGTTGTCACTGCAAATGAACAATGAACTGGTCCGAGATGTGAACAGGGGAAGTAGAGATGCTTGGATTAGATTGGTTTTTCAAAATTCTCTAGGCTTTTTTCCTTAATGACTCTACTGTTGTCCCTGGAATAAAGGCCCATGTTTTTAACATCAATATTCTCCTAGTGATATAACATAGCTTTAAGCCAATTAAGGTTTCACAGGCTCCAATGAATTGAA